AAAGTTTTAATGTACAAGTATAACAATTGTGAAAAACATTCAGGTGAGAAAGGATACATTCAAACAAAGAAGTTTTACTGAGGATAAGACAGTTTAAAATCCAAGTGCCAGAAAATGGAGGGGCACACACACAAACAAACATTAATCCTCTGGAAGTGAGGAAAACACTTTAGATCAGACAATACAGACAAGATCATCAAGAAATAGAATAAAATAAAACAAAGGACACACAAGTCCATACACAAAAGATGAGAGGAAAAAAACAATACATGTTATGTCAAGAAAATTCATAGAGAGTGAAAAAACACACAAATTTATTATACAAGAAACAAGGATTTATACAAAAGTGGCTGGTGAGCCAGGGAGTTGCAGGGAGTTTCATAGAGTTTCAGAGAGTTTCAAGGAGTTTCAGGGAGTTTCAGAGATTTTAAAAGTTTCAAAAAGTTTTTTTCCTGTTGAGGAAAGTGAGAATGATATACTATAGTATAACAAAAAAATTCAAGTGTTTTAAATTGACAAAGAGATGTTTAAATGTGTGATTTACAAAATACAGAGGTGGTGACAGGTTTAAAGTCAATAGATTTTGTTTAAAGTAAAGTTACAAACTGTTTTAAATATCCAGGTACATGGAGAAGCTTAGTAAAGAGTTTGATGTTTGTGGTTGACAATAATAGATTACAATTGTGTTTGCGATAGATGTTTTAAGAAAAATTGTTTTAAGGTAATAGATTAGACAACAATAGAATATTTGATAAGTTTTTTTTAAAAAAAAAGGGGCTTGTGATTTAAAATAGCCACATTGAGGTTAAAATGTTTTATAGATAGCTCATTTGCTTTAAAGTTACATGATAGATAATCAAGTTAAAGATTGTTCATTAAGTATAGAAAAAAGCTCAATAGTTTTTTTAAAAAAATAAGGATATATAGCTTTAAGTGTTGATAAAACTTTAAGTGTTGACAAAACAAAATATATAACATTAAATGAGATAAAATAGATTAAACAGTTGTTATACGATTTAAATTGTAAATTGTCAATTGTGATATATAGAGATTCACAGACATGCATTTTCATGACAATAACAAAAATGTTAAAATACAGATCAAAATACATTAGAGCTAGATGACAATGCTAGGGAGCTAGTTTAAAATGAAATTATGTGCCTAAAATTTAAAACCAAACACAACACTATAGATATATTAACAAAGGTTCTGGAGATAGAACAACATTGACAATTGCTACAACAGATTGAGATGTTATTTTAAATATATAAAACTAACATTGTGCTAAGATAGTTTCAACAAGAACAACAAAAATAGTGGTCTCACACATCTATACATTTCAGGAGGGGAT